GAGTCATCATGAGTTGGAGTTGACTCCACAGCAACTGGTTTTTACTGTGGTTAAGAGAGGAGGGTAGAAACAGTTACAACATCTGTCTAGTGAACCACAGGGTTCAAACTCATTAGGTCCCTTTAGAAAATCAAGGTTGAAGATTTAATGTCCAAGAGTACAATTTCTTTGGTTTCCTACCCTTCTTGCTGTGTACTGTAATGTCACTATTAGATAGTCTTGTCTCACCAGCAAGAAGACTGTGCTTAAGTCATTGTTAAGCATTTAAAGAAACACACAAGGCCTGTCTGGAGATGATCTATATACCCCTCAGTGGTTTCACCATCCCACACAGACCAAGAGAGAGAAGATGTACCTCATTGTGTGTAGTGCGCTGCTGGGATTATCCTGAATAAGCTAGATCAGGCTCAGTTAAGCAACTACTTTTGGCAGACGGTAGATATTTTAAAGAAGCAATTATTTATACCTCCTCCACTCTTCTCTTCTTCTCATGGGGTGGAGCAGCACTTCTGATTACCCCAACTGACTGAGCTTTTAAAACCTCTCCTGTAGATTTCTGAAAAATAAAATACAAAAGATCAGATTTACAGATAAAAGAAATGTAATTGTAGTAATCATAACTAAAAGGCTGTTGTTTTAAAATCCGAGGTGGTTTCTAACAAGTTTCTCCTAATACACTGAAAACAATACCTCTTTCTCAGTGTTCTTTTCACCAGTGGTAGGAGAACTGAAGGTGAAGTCGGATGACAAGGCATCTACAGCATCATCAGGCCCCATGGGTTTCTAAAGAAACAGGCCCAAGGACTGGTAAGACTTGGGAATCATTCACGTGAAAGAACAGACTGTAAACCCAGCCAAGGGAAGAATGTACTTTTTCAATTCCTTCACTTCCAAACAAGATGTGCTAATGAAATAATTCAGATAAAAGCCTATGTTTGGAAGGCGGTGGGTGTTCAGTAAATATTATTTTCCCCCTCCCCTCTTCTAAAGGTATTACATGTTGGGATATTCTCATTCTAATTTTATTAACATTTGTTTTATCCTAATGCTTTCTTTGCTCCATTCTTCTCCCCCTCCCAAAAAACAAAAACTATGTATGAAACCAATGAACACTCAGACACCCCCCACACCCACCTCTTTTCTCTGAACAGATGGAAACATCATCTGATTTAGAGGTTAGAATATAGAATTTAGACTTATCTGAATACAGAATTGACAGTCCCATCAAAGACATAAAATGTGTTTATCTAGATTTCAGAAGCCAGGTATGTAAACTCACTACAGAGTCTGCAGGAGGCTGGATGATTCCTTCATTTTTCTGAAACAAATATTAATTTGATGATGTTAAGAAGGCATCTATTTTTCAAAATTATTCCTTATGATTGTCAAACTGTATTGCTCAGTGAGCTTCACAGTGATGCAATGATAGTTTCACATGCCTCATTGTATTTTCTAAATTTAAAACATCTTGAAGACATTGACTTGATTAAAAATTACATTCCACGTGCCCCATTATATTTTCTAAATTTAAAACATTTTGAAGATGTTGATTTGATAAAAAATTACATTCCAAAAAAGTAAACAGTGAGATAAAAGTAAATGATTATTTAACTTACAGCCAAAAGTTCCCTGTATTTTGGTGGAAGTGTAACTTCTCTTTTACCCAATTCCTCTATGTAGGTAAAACTCATTGGATCCTGGAACAAAATCATACACGTAGAGATGTTATGTAATTAATTAGTTGGGAAAGTTATGTACACATTCTGAAACCAAATTTGATCCCATTATTAATTTATGAAACTAATGAGATGACTTAAAGTCATTAAGGGGCCAATACTTGATGGCAACCAATGTCACAAAAACAATGTGTGTACTAATTGTTTAGTGAGAAACTAGTTTGTTCTGTAAACCTTCATATAAAGTACAATTAAAAAAAAGGATTAAAAAAATCAGTTGGATTCTTATACATCAGTAAACAGAACTACAAAAAAGGAAATCAGGAAAGCAATACCATTTATAATAGTGCCTAAAAAATTAAAATACTTAGGAATAAATCTAACCAAGGACATAAAAGACCTATACAAAGAAAACTACAAAACAGCAAGAAACCAGAAGAGATCTACATAAATGGAAAAACATACCATGCTCAAGGATAGGTAGACTCAACATTGTGAAAATGTCAATTCTACCCAAAGCAATCTGCAAACACTATGCAATCCCAATCCCAACAGCATTCTTTAACGAGATGGAAAAAGAAAAAAAAGATGCCAATGCTTGAAACAACTCTGAAATTCTAAATTTATACGAATACTTTCCCATATTTAATTGGCTTAATGCATGTGTCATGTTAGAAAATAGTCAAAATACTATCCTGAAGTTGATTCCATATTAATAATACATTTTGTCTGAAAATGTTTTTATTATTTAATACTTCCAATATATACAGAAGGACGGTTAATAACAATGAATTTCTGTAAAACCCAACACTCAACTCTAGCAGATCTATAGTCATATCAGTTTCTAAGGAAAAAAAAAAAAAATCACATATGGAGTGGCTGCCTCCTGCTTAGTCCTCTCCAATCCCGTTCCCCTCCTTGTTACCCAGAGTAGCCACTGTCCTGGATTTTAAGTTTCTCATCTCCATCCACTTAAAGCTGAGCATATTTGAAATCAGTTATTACACACGTAGGCATCCATATATAACATGTAGCATTACTTCGCACGTTTTCAAATGTTATATAAATGGTGTTATAATCTACATATCATTCTGTAATATGCTATTTTTATGCAAAATTACGTTTTTGTGATACATTCATGTTGATACATGAATAATTCGTTTTAACTACTAAAAAGAATTCCATAATATCACTATCCTGTCTCCTGCTGATGGAATTGTTTCACCAGTTCTCATACTAACTCCCTGTACATGTGGACAAGGCTCCCGTCAGGGAATCTCTCTCTCCTGATGTGGAATTGCTGTTTGAAGTGTATGTATATCTTCAACACCCACTAGCTGTGGGCGGGTTGTCACTCTCACACTTTTGCCAATCTGATGAGTGTGAGGTAGTATCTCTCCGTGTTTTAATATTTTCCTAATTACTAGGGAGATTCTCATTTTATTTGTTTATTGGCCAATCAAGTTATATACTATTTTTCTGTTGGGTTGTCTTTTTCTTACTGTTATTTTATTCCTGATAAAGTCTGGAAACAAATCCTTTGTTATGTCTGTTGCAAATATCTTCTTCTAGTCTATGTCTTGTGGTTGTTTTGTAATTACAAGGAACATGTAACTTTACTGCTAGGAATAAGAATGAAGTGAGGGTAGGAAATGTCTGGAAAACAAAATAAGTTCAAGTCACTGGGCTTAAATCTTGAGACAGAAAATAAGTCTTTGTGGACAAAAAGGCTGTAATCCAAGGACATTCTCTGTGCAGATAATCAATAACCATTTGCTGAACCACCGGACAAACCATTTCCACCACCAACACTAATTTTTAGTTGCTATTATTGGTGCTGCTACCATCTTGTTTCTATCCCAGTAATAGAACACTAGGTATTTTCTCTTGCACGTAATGACCTTATTTACTCTCCTACCCATTATGTATGAATCTTTATAGATTTCAAGATCACATACTGAAACCTCTGGTCCAGTATATGTTGTATCATCCTCTTCAGTTACTTCAGGTGCCCCCAAAGTGTCTATTAAGTCATCCAAAGCAGCATCCATGTCTGACTGGAAAAGAAAGAAAACAGATATGGATGTTATACATATTTCACTTTGAGTTTTTACAAAATAAACCATTCCACATAGAAAATACCAAACACCAAAGGTTGTTCAATACCAAAATAGTTAAAATCTGGTTTCTAATAGACGTTATGATTTAAAGTCTCAGAGTACAGATTCTAGGTTGGACAGATAAAAACCAATATTCAGGTAAAAATTACAGTTTCAGTAAGTTTAAAGGTATTAACTACATGAATAAAATTATGCATGTATTGAAGCCGCCTGTCCAACATTCTCACGTTAAAGAAAAAGCAAAACAAAATACAAAAAAATTATAACCATATTGCTATAAGCATAGAAGAAATGCTTGGTAGTTATTGCTCATCAATAATTTTCCAGACTTACGTACAAAGAGCCCCAACAAAATGTCTACACAGCACTTCTTCCAAACAGAATCTATTTCAAAAGTGGTTTGCCCTGTGTCCTTTCATTCACTTGTGTTGAGTCACTTGCTTGCCTGAAGACGTTTACAAAATAGAAATTACCTGAAAGGGATGTTAAACTTACAAGAAGTCACAATCTACACTGTCAATCTGGATTTAAATCAGTATAATGAGTGGCAGAGCACCTTCATCCTATTTTTGAAGTTAAGAATGAATTATTGTGGACAATAATCTGCATCTAAATGGAAAACATCAACTTGGGAAAGAAACTATCATTTAATTCAGATTAAAATGATGGTTTAAGATGTTTATTGCAACATTTTGCAGTGAACAATTCTGGTATTTGTTATATTTCCACTACAACTTTAGGACTCACCTACTCGTGGATATGTGTAATAGAATTTGGGATCTGTTAGCTATGGACTGATTATTTGGTGAGTTTCAGAGAAAAAGCTGCCGGCTATCTTTAGTGATACCTCTGGTTAAAGATGGTATATTTTCAGGAGAGAAACTGGAATGTAAACTCCATGGCATATTAACTTGAGTTTTCAAAACAGATGTTTATAATATAAAATGTTACATCTTGCACGTGAGAAAATTACTTGTTCATAATGCATGGACACTTTGAATCCAGTCACATCAGCTTGAGACAACAGTTCATTAAAAAGGGTTCTTTATGTTACCTCTTCATATTCTTTGCTCAGGAGAAATCAGATTACGATAAACATTGAGAATATGAATAAATATCTTAGGAAATGTACTGCTATCTTCATACCTTTCCAGATGGCTTACTCGGTTTGGATTCAACTGGTACAGCTGCTGCTAATGGTTTCTTTTCTTTTTTCTGGTTGGGGTTTAGAAAGAAATACCTTTATAAAATTCAATAATATTACATATTTAAAAAGGGATTCCTTATAATAATAATAGCATTGATCATATACTGAATACCTGCCCTATGCCAGACACCGTGCTGTATGTTTTATATACATTTTCAGAACAGCCTAAATAATATCATTCCATTTAGTAATGTGGAAAGCAAGGCTCAGAAAAGTTAAGCAACTTTCCCCAGGTTACACAGTAAGGAGTAGAAACAAGATTTGCCTCCAGTACTGCCTGTCTCCGTCCCCACTATTCCTGGTTGCCTCTTCCAGGGCCCACAGCCAGTCTTTGCAAGCCCTGTGCAATAGTTTTGGTCACTTCTTTTAGCTGTGGCTCTCTGGTCTCTGTCCCTAATCAGCAAGATCGCCACGCTCCTTCCTTGCTTTAGCATCTCATCCTTAATTTCCCTAACATGAGCTTCCCTCCTGGCACTGCTTCAGTTGTTCTATCAAAGATGGCCAATAACTTCCCAATCTGCAATTTCCATGGCTTTACCCAGACACAACCTTCTTGATCCTGGAGGCATCCCTCTCCCGACACTCATCTCTGGTAGCAGCCATGACTCAGCTCCATCCTGGTTCTACACTGACTTTCCTTCCCTGCTAGTTCTGTCATTTCTTCTACTCTGTCCCCAACAACACACAGTCTGCAAGTTTCTGTCCTGCACCGGCCATCCTATCTCAAATCATTCTCTAGGCCCTAAGTGAACTGCTTTCAGGGCCAGGCAGGAACTAAATGGGTGCAGTTGTCGGATTTAAGACAATAGGGAACCTTGTCCCAAATGAAGGAATCCGAATTCTGGGCAGCAGAGCACAGAGGTGAAGTACAAGAGCTCTGTCTGGATCCTGGAGTGTAAAACGGGGATAATGACCAAACCTATCCCAGGAGATTGTGAGGACTAGATAAGTTAATATATGTAAAATGTGAAAGACAGTGTTTGGCATATGCTAAGCACTATGTAAAGTACTTGCTATACAAACCCATTGCCGTCGAGTCAATTCTAACTCACAGCGACCCGACAGCAAAGAACAGAACTTCCCCATAGGGTTTCCAGGGCTGTAATCTTTACAGAAGCAGACTGCCACATCTTTCCCGAGGGGCAGCTCATGGATTCGAACTGCTGACCTTTTGATTAGCAGCTGAGTGCTTAACCACTGTGTCACCAGGGCTCCCCTGCTATATAAGTAAGTGCCAAATAAGTGATTGCTGCAAATACTCTGTGTGTAGGGCATGATCCTGGTTCTGGGCAATTGAATCTACTTCCAAAATTCAGCTATGACCTTAGTCATGCATATTCTCCCTCCCCTTCACCACTACTCTCCTGCACTCTAAAACAATATTCTAATTGCCTTGATACACATCTTTCTTTGGATACCTCAGATTCAGCCTGTTCAAAATCAGACTCATCCCCTTTCCTCCCCAGTCAATTACTCCTCTAACTTCTGTCCATGGTAAGCAGGGCCCAGAGAAAGACTAGGCAAGCCAGAGTGGCCAGGGTACTCCCACACTCACAGGAGCGTCACAGTGAGTACCTCCTTAAATTCTGTGCCCTGGGCACCTTGCTCTCCTCACCTTAAGGTTACCAACCTAGTCAACAAGACTCAGAAGCCCCAAGTTATTTTAGAATTAACTCCACTTTTGCATACTTCAGCCAATAATTTCCTAAAACCTGAAGATTTTAACTCTGCAATGCCTTCTGCATCACTCCCTTCTTGTTTATTCTATCCCAGCTCCAATTTATGCTACATTATCAGTCACCAGGACTACGGAAACAGCCTCTGACCAGCCTTCCACTTCTCAATCTATTCCATTTCATCCTACCCTTAATCCTCCTAAAGCTCGGTTTTAATCACATCACTCCATCTGTTCTCTAATCTTCAATGGCTACCCACGGCAGGCTGAATCGCATGTATACACTCACCTTAGCATTCTGTGCAGCATTGCCTCAACCTCTCTTTCTGGTCTTATAGCACTCCCTACTCACCTCCCTGTGCTTCACTCTGGAATGCCCTCTGTACCCAGAACACACCTTACTCTTTTCCACCTTGATGCAGCCGCATGCCTGCGATCCTAGCTATCCTTTAGTACCTAGCTCAAACTGGATCTACTCTCTCAAAGCCCTTACCCATTTCTCAACTCAGATGGAATTCCTGGGCCTCTCACCAAGCAGCTCCCTGTGGGGTCTTTCTTAATCTGCTTTGAATTACAGTCCCAGGTATTCTGTCTTCTCCCGAACCTCTAGATGGGCCAAGTCTGCAGCTAAGTGTGTCCTGCAGAAACCACTACAATGCTTTAAACACGATAGGTACTAAAAATAAATGAATAAATGAATAAGGGAGGGAGGGAAGGTATATCTGACGAACCCCATTTTATAGGAGAAGAATCAGAGGTAAAGAAAAGTGAAATGTTGTGCTACAAGTTTCAGCACAAATCAACGCACAACAGAATTCCATATACGCTTCTCCTAATGTTACTGTTTAGCTTTCACGGGTCACAGTGGCTCGTTTACAGCTAGCATAAAATTTCAAATTGTGATTAAAATTTTAAATCTGTCCTAACAGATCTAGTCCTTTGCCTCAAGTTGATCCATTTTTCAAACCATTTCACAGTACTCCTCGTGGGCAGAAGAGAGGAATAAGCACCCCCATGGTGGAGGTCTCCAGGTAGTGCCCACGTGGTCTCCCACAAGAAAAAAACTTAAGTTGTGTATCTCATTTAAAGGTTTATGTAAATTTTGCCTTTACTCCATAGTGTGATAAAAATAATGTGCCTTTTCTCACAAAATCTGAGAAAAATTGATGTTTTAGGGAGATGTGCCATACGTTTCTCCTATAACTTTCCTTACCACCTTGCCTGCAGGGGACTACCTTTCCCATTTTGAAAACCAGGAATATAAATAAATATATACTACTTTTTTCTAGTTTCATCTCCATCTTTTCATTTCAGCTAATTGTTGCTTTCACTGCTTACTTGTGGCTTCAGGAGAAATAAATACTGGCATTTCTAGGGAGACATGATCTCCAAATGGATTACTAACTCTGCATTTCTATGGGTAGAAAACCTAGACTACGTCTTGTTTTATATTCTTGGGCTAGTACCTGAAGTAGCTCATCAAAGGATCTAAAGGGATTTGCCCATAATTAGCCCAACCAAAAAAAAAACACACCTGCTGCCGTTGAGTAGACTCCGACTCATAGTGACCGTATAGGACAGAGTAGAACTGCCCCATAGGGTTTCCAAGGAGCAGCTGGTGGATTCCAACTGCTGACCTTTCTGGTTAGCAGCCAATCTTCTTGTTAGCAGCCATAGCTCTTAACCACTGTGCCATCAGGGCTCCTCATAATTAGCCAGCAGGACATATATACTCTTCTCCTGAGAGGGCTTGCTATGTCTTCATTGAAAACCTCCCTTATAAATTCATGTAGACGTCATGACTTTGTGATTTATTTGTATCAAGATTATCTGGTGTTGACACTGAAAGCTGAGAGTAATGCTCATTCAAATGCTCCTGGCAATTTTATTTGCTTTAGTTCAAATTTACAAATCTTGAAGACAGGATATTTATCAATTCACATTTTAATTTCCTTGGTATGCACAGGAGCCCTGGTGGCACAGTGGCTAAGCATCTGGCTGTTAACCAAAAGGCCGGTGGTTCGAACCCACCAGCCACCAGCAGGAGAAAGATGTGGCAGTCTGCTTCAGTAAAGATTTACATCCTTGGAAACTCTATGGGGCTGTTCTATTCCGTCCTATAGGGTTGTTATGGGTTAGAATTGACTCGATGGCAGTGGGTTTAGTTTTTGTTTTTTGGTATGTACCAGGCCTTAGACATGGCAAGTGCTCAATCAATATTTATTGAACATATAAATTTCAAAACCATTTTTTGGTATCTTGTTCACTGTATATCCCTTAAATGCCTGCCCCTCTTCACAAAATGTCACATATTAACGGTGTTCAGTTTTATCAAATGAGAAGTTATTTGAGTGTGGTACCACTGGAACCCTAAATGGTTAATGAGAGCCAGACCTAAAGCACAGGTGGGAAGGGTCTTCCCTGAGCACCAAACCAAAACCCACTGCCACTGAGTCGATTCCGACTCATAGTGACCCCATAGAGTTTCCAAGGCTATAAATCTCTACGAAGCAGACTGCCACACCTTTCTCCTGTGGAGTGGCTGGTAGTTTCGAACTGCTGACCTTTCAGTTAGTAGCTGATCACTTTAACCACTGCACCACCAGGGCCCCTTTCACTGAGCACACGGTTCTGACAACAGAGGCATTCTAAGCATGAGGCCCACCCACCTTTACATCTGCATGTGTGTGCTCACCTTGTCATCTGGTTTGCCAGATGTTGCAGTTACACCAGCAACAACACTCTTTCCGCCACCAGAAACTGTATCCTGTGATGCAGTCTAAGGACAGGGACAAGAGAATGACAGGACTAATTATCTTCGGATGACTAGTTTTGAGATCATGAGTTTCAAATGTTATTAGCATCTGCTAGTTTACCCTTGTGGACATCATTATAGAGGAATGTTTACTAGCCTCTACTGTGCATGGTACGATGCTGGGCACCATATAATGCTGGACTCAGGTGCCTACAAAGTCCATGCAAGTGACACAAATAGGTGAAGTGGGCCAGGTAGGGACTATGGTGAGCTGGAGAACATATACCAGGTGCAAAGGCTCTAGTCAATTGTTGCCAGATATTCTGACTTTTTTAAGAAATGTGAGATATTTCCATTTTATGTGAAGAAACCTGACTTTAATTGTTGGCAACTAATTAAAAACAAGTTTAATACTGTAAGCCAAACAGAATACACGAGGCTGCATTTAACTGGTGGGCAACAAATTTGTGATCTCTGATATAAAAAGTATATTGTTTAGCAGACCTAGTTCTTGTCTTCCAAGAGCTCTCAATGAAAAAGTTCTTCTCATAAATTTTATTCTTCTAAAAGTTGACCACCATAAGCTCTAGAATTATCTATTTCTGATTTTTGGCTCTAAAAGTTCACCTCCTCTACAACAAGATTCTAAACACTTTGCCAGGTAAAGAAGCCGCTCATGCAGGGCACCTGTGTTGTCATAGCCTGTGTGTAGAGGGGCCTAGAAGGCAGCTTCAAGTCAAAGCCTCCTGCCTGTGAGGAACCACAGCCTTCTGACTTGCAGTCACAGCCGGCCATCGCTGCACAGGAGAAGACTGGACCATGCCCCCCGTTAACCACTGCTGCCTTCTCAGACCTTCTATACACCCTGAGTTTCTACAAGAGCATTTTCCAAAACCAATAAAATAATAGCACTAAATCATTACAACATACAATATATTCAATATAGCCCCACAGACTCAAATCAGGGCTTTTAAATGGTTCAGCCGGGTTCAGTCATGGCTGACAAGGCGATATCAAAATGGACCCAAATTTTTAAAATGTGGGTGAACTGGAATGCTAACTGGAATGGGAAAAATTACGAGTTGAATCCCTGCTAGAAACTTAATCTCCCTCTTAGAAAACGAGCAGCATGCACGCTGCACAACAACAAAATCTCTTGACCAGAGTTGAAAACAGTGGTGCCCAGCTCAAAGATGGCAGCCAACTGTGCCACTCTGAACATGTGTTGCTCTCCATCAAAAACAAAACCAAACTCATTGCTGTCGAGTTGATTCCGACTCATAGCGACCCTACAGGACAGGGTAGAACTGCCCTGTAGGCTTTCCAAGGAGCCCCTGGTGGATTCGAACAGCCGACCTTCTGGTTAAGAGCCAAACTCTTAACCACTATGCCACCAGGGTTTCTGTCCCTCTCCACAGTCCTGGCAATAATCCAATGTTACCCATCAGGCTCCTGAAAAGGCTCACTACACTTCTTCTGAGTCTCCCATTCCAGGGCTTTGACCGTAATTTTTCCCACTCCACTTAGCATTCCAGATCACTCAAAATTTTAAAAATTCAAGTCTGTTCCGGTTTCACTCTATCAGTCATGACTGAGCCAGTCTGAACCAGTCTGAAGCCCTGATTCAAATACACAGGTCAATGTGAATTAAAAAAAGAAAAAAACTAAACCCGTTGCTGTCGAGTCAATTCCAACGAACAGTGCCCCTACAGGACAGAGCAGAACTGCCCCACAGAGTTTCCAAGGAGCGCTTGGTGGTTTTGAACTGTCGACCTTTTGGTTAGCAGCCGTAGCACTTAACCACTGCGTCACCAGGGTTTCCACAGTGTGAACAGGGGACCCATATATTAGTGCCTAGATGATGTTTAAAAAACAAAAAAGGCTGCCATGGAATTGACTCTGACTCACGGTGACACCACGTGTGCCAGGGTAGAACTGTGCTCCACAGGGCTTTCAGTGACTAATTTTTTGGAAGCAGATCAGCAGGTCTTTCTTTCAAGGTGTCTCTGGGTGAACTGGAACCTGCAACGTTTTGGTTAGCAGCCAAGCACATTAACCACTTCTACCCAGGGACTCCCAGCTGATGTGCTTCCTTCCTACCGACCTGCTTTACTTACCTTTAGCTCTGTTGACTTCTCTGTTGTCAGCTGCTCACTTGAGCTGGGAACTGCTTTTTTATCATGAGCATGCTTGCTTCCCGTGTCTGTTGTATGCTTGGGTGAGCTCTTTGGCTGAAAGCACACATGCATACACACGCAACACTGTTAACAAGATGATAGTTTCAAACACAATAGTGATGCTTTTCTCTATGCAGTGGAAACAGTTCATAGCAGTTGTGGCTTATGTGGTTTTAAATTGTATGAATTTGAATTCATGTGATATAAAAATGTGCTGATATAATTTCTGTTTAGGTATCAAATTTGAAATAATGCAAATTCTTCCTCCCAAATTCAGCAAGAATCACATAATTTCAAAGTTTGAGAGCTGAGTAAGTTGTAAACCCTGATATTGCCACATGAGGGCGCCATTTTAGCCAAAATACAAATGCTAGCCATCCCTCTGCAGGGCTAAGTCTCGAACGATGTAAGTTTTGAATTACACCTCACAAGGAAAAAGTCTTCATCTTAAAACAGCAAGTCCTAACAATAATAATTTACCTCTCTGTGTTCCTTTGGCTTTGTTTCTTGAGTTTTCTTCTCATGAACCACAGATGGCTGTCAATTTTAAAAGATAAAAACTTAATTACTTTCAAGTCCACTATTTTCAAATTTCCAAATAGGCTCAAGAACAAAAATCTCCATTAAATCATTCTGCCTCTCTTAGGAAAACCTATTTAGGCCCAGTTCTTTGAGATCAGAGAAGCTGACATGCATTGTCTGGTTGGTAGTAATCTCACCAACAGTGTCTGATAATGACAATTACCAAAAGAATAATGAAAAAATAAGCATTTCATCTAGAATGATGTTTACACATATGTATGTGTCTCTGAATTACTGTTTTTCACAATTCATGCAGGTAATTTGGTAACTGCAGGTCCATTACAGAGAAGGCAACTGATCAGTCTAACCACTGGGTTTGTGGACAGGGCGTCCTACTCTACAAATTAAGTTTTAAAAATTCTCCTCTCACAGGGGAGGAACACTGTCTTTACACAGCATTTTCTTTAATTTATTGATTTACATAACCCTTTCTCAATTCCTTTGAGGTTTGTAAATAACCCAAAGCACTTAAAAGTGGAGTATAAGACAACCTCCACCTAGCTGCTGAATTCCTCCCTCCTGCAATTACCATTCTGAGGCGGAAGGGGGATGTTAGGATGCCTTTCACACAATTAGATAAGCCTCACTTTTCATCCAAATGACCTCACCCTCACCTAAGCTTAAACGACTTTGATCAAAAGCATCTCTATGCTTTCCAATGCAGAAAACCTTGTGGTCTTACCTGAGTATTCCCTTACACACTTGATAAAATAGAGCACCTTATGAGGGGAAACATTTGCCCTGCCTGCAGATACCCACAGGTCCACCTCCACGTGAAGCAAAATGACTTTCGGAATGGACTCTGGAATAGACTCTGGACAGCCCTGAGTCAGGAACCCAAGGGAAGCCCTTCCCAAGGGAAATTCAGTGCTGTCTCCTGAGTAACTGATAACTAGTTCCACCAACCAAGATAAAACAGTCAAGACAAAGCCAGCCAGAATCTTGGGAATGTTCTTGTCTTTAAGTTAGGTAGGTGTTGTATTCAACGGACAGATTATTATTAATGTGTCATCTTTAAAGTAATTGGGCATGCTTCTCACTACCCTTTCTTCTTTCTTCCTCCTGCTTTATTGTTTTAAAACAATTACTTCACCTATATCAAAAATCTAGATTTGAACAAAAATGCCTTCTGAAATATATTTTGTCAGTGAAATATTAGACACTCATTTTAACCAAATATAGATTTAATGTTTTAGCTATTTTATATATACTATAATTATATTAAAAATAGTCCAAAAATCATTATATTAGCTGACAGACTTTCCTGATCATTCAGTAGCACCAGTGTAGGAAATTGGTTATTAATTGCTTATTCTTACAAAAAAAAAAGTCCCAAATAACACAATAGAGAGTTCAATCAATTACCTTAGTTGATTGTGACTTCTTTTCAGGTTCTGTTTTTACAGCCTACATTCAGAAGGAAAAAAAGAAAAAGAAATGGAGATAGCATATAAAGATTATCATAGATTTTCTTCAACTAAGCAAGTTCAAAAGAGATGATTTGGATCTAATATAAATTTTATGAGTTGAGTTTATTACGTTTTGTTTTGAATTGGAACTCTAGATAAACATTTAAGTATACAGGCAGTCCCCAGATTCTGAACGAGATCTGTGCCTGTGTCTTTAAGTCTTTCAACTGAATTTGTAAGTCGGAACAGGTGCATATGGTTCTTATTTAGCCTTACTTGAGTGCAAGAAAGGAAACCCTGGTGGCACAGTGGTTAAGAGCTACGGCTGTTAACCAAAAGGCGGGCAGTTCGAATCCACTAGGTGCTCCTTGGAAACTCTATGAGGCAGTTCTACCCTGCCCTATAGGCTCACTATGAGTTGGAATCGACTCAACCAGTAAGGGGTTTGGTTGGTCTTTTATGCGTAAGTGAAGGTGATTGTGATGAAGAATTTGTTGCCAGTAGGGATTGGTTCAATCATTTCAAAGTGAGGGCATATTTACATTAACTTCAAAGGGCAAGTAGGAGTTGTCTGTAAATCTGGGGACCACCTGTACTATATTCTTTTCCCACTGGTGGCACAATGGTTAAGCACTTGGCTGCTAAGCAAAAGGTCTGCAGTTTGAACCCACCAGCCACTCCGTGGGAGAAAGACGTGGCAGTCTGCTTTCATAAAGATTTACAGCCTTGGAAACTCTATGTGACAGTTCTACTCTCCCCTCTAGGGTCTCTATGAGTCGGAATTGTCTTGACAGCAATGGGTAATAGTGTTCTCTTACTATTCAGATGGCAATTTACACTTTACTTTTTGCTATGTGTATCAAAGAGATGTAAAGACTTATTACGATGAACACTGAAGCTAGTATGTAAGAAAATAAAAACCATCACCTTCAAAGCCTAGGGTATTGTGTTTCGAAGCCACTAAGGTGATCTCTTTATTAGTGAAATACTTGCCACAGGTTTTAGTTGACAGTTTGAGACAATGGGATAGTGACAGAATCGAGGGCACAGAAAGCCATGAAATTTATTTTTAGTGTCAGGATGTGAGCAGTGGGTAATTAAGCCTATCAGAAAGGCCGTGATAGGGTCAGAATGTGACAAAAGATTGTGAACCCCCATGATTAGCATGTGTTGAGCAGCTGAAGTGACAATTAGTAAACAGTGATGCCCAATACAATGAACCACGTCACCTGCTTTTTGTGTCTTTTCTTGATAGGAGGAAGTGGTCCTTCTATCTGTTTGTTGATTAGAATGGCCTAATATTAGAGCACACCTCCAACAAGTTTACCAGAATTGTCAGAAAAGTTTATCTGACAGTCAAAAAAAAAAATGTATCAACAGAGCTAAAATGTTTATAGCAAGATCCTTTCCAGTTCAACCCAATGCATATGCATATAACTCAGAAAAACTATAGGAGCATAAATCCTAAGGTCTCAAGCAAATATTTCAGTTGGGGTTTACTTTATGTCAGTCAAACAAAATCAGTTAAGATTTCCATTAATAAAATTAATTGCTGTTCCCTTTCGTTTCCTGTCCTTCCCTGAGTAAAGGCTGCTTGAGTAGTATTATTTTCCACCTAGATGTCTAATGTTGCTTGTTTGCTTATGATCAAATAAGTAGTGAATACTTATAAGTAGGTCATCTTGAAAAGTTTTCTAAAGTTCTGTCAACATAACCACGGAACAATTTTGTAAATATTTAGTGCATGGATTTTTACTGTACACATTTTAGCCCTGCATGCCAAGATCTAAAGTCCTAGGAATGCTTCTAAAGAGCTCGCTGTTAATTTAGGACCTTTAGTGTGGTATTTTACAGAGTTTAGATTAACCTTTACCCAACCAAAGGTTATCTGTGCAAAAAAAAAAAAAAAAAAACACAATTCCTTAAGTACATGTGCATTCTCAATACAGGCAAGACATGAAAACTTGGTTAAACTTTTTGTGAAATTTTCAAAGACAGACATTAAAAATTAGGCCTAATGCGTCTGCTATTTCTTTCTCTTTTATCTGCTCAATGGTATCAGCACAAACTTCTATTTCTCTATTATGCGAAGAGGCTAAAGCCAAAAACCCCATGGAACACAATTCTACACCAATACACAAGGGGTTGCCACGAGTTGGTAACTGACTTGACGGCAAACGGTTGGTTGGTGCTTCAGTAATAAAGATACATGCTTTCCTCACATAATGGACCCTTGTTATGCCAACACACTTATTGTTTTCAAAGGGAAAAAAAGTTCATGATCACAGAAATGTTTTAAAGGAAATTTTAAATTTTAGATCCTTTCAAACTGTATCCTTAGTAATGAATTTTTTTCATGCTATTATCCTTTCTGGGGTTTATGCAAATACAGTTCACTAGATGATTAACAAGGAAAATAAGCCATTGGTATTGCAGTGGTTTGAATCTATTAATAGCTTCCAATTTGTAATTTGGCAATCAAGATGTTGCATGGGAGAATTATACAACACAACTAAGAATGTATGCTCACAGACATAAGCAGCTTATGATGAAATCTACATTTTAATCAGTAATCACTAACACACTTCCAAAATTTATTTTTGGTGGTGCTGAAAATAATAATGATGACAGTAATAATTATTGTCTAATATCTAAAAAAAGTGACATTGCAACTGAAAAGGACAATAACTGAAATGAGAAACATAACAGAAGGACTCACCAACAACCAAGCAGAAGAAGAAACAAGCAGCAAATTAGAGGATAAGATATTCAAAACAGAGGTTGAAGAGCAACAACAATGGAGATTCAAGAAGGCTGAACACAGTTTAACGGAACTATGGGACAATAAGAGATGTACTATATGCATCACAGAATTCCAAAAGGAGAGGAGGGAGAAAAAGGGATAGGAAGAATGTTTGAAAAAATAATGACAGAATATTTCTCCAACTGAACGAAGGACATGAATCTATAAATCCAAGAAGCTCAAAGAACCCCAGGCAGGATAAACCCAAAGATCTACACCAAGACACATCATAGTTAGGCTGTCAAAAAGTAAAGATAGAGAATCCTGAAAGTAGTGAGAGAGAGGCAAACTGTCACATACAAAGGATCCCCAATAAGACTAAGTGTCGATTTCTCCTCAGAACACTGAGGCCAGAAGGCAATGGAATGATATATTTAAAGTGCTAAAAGAAAAAAACAAAACAAAAACCAAAATGACCAACCAAGAACACTATACCCAGTGAAACTGTCCTTCAAGAATGAGGGTGAAATTGAAACATTCTCAGACAAACAAAAGCTGAAAGACTTCATATCCACCAGTCTGGCCCTACAGAAAATACTAATGGAAGTTCTGCAGATGGAAGGAAAAAGACACTAGAAAGTAATTCAAAGCTACACATAAAATGAAAGATCCCTAATAAAGGGAACTGCATGGACAAGTGCAAGGTCTAATAATAAGGTATTCATGCTTTATAATTCTAATTGTTTTGTCCTTCGTGCTTTTTATAATATATAGAAAACAGATAAAATTATGTCACAGGGAAAATGAAATATAAAGACATAATTACTGATAACTGCAACAAGGGGGGGAGGTATAGATACAGAATTCCTTGTATATTACTGAAGTTGTTACCAACTTACCCTAGGATGTTATGAATACAAGCTGTTAAATGTAATATTTATGGTAACCAGTAAGAAACTGTCCAAAAAAACATACATAAAAGGAAAAGAGAAGGGAACCAAAACAGCCCACTATAATAAACCAGCAAAAACAAAAGCAAGCAGTAGTAAAGGACAAAGAAGGCTTAAGACACACACACAAAAATAACAAAATGGCAGAAGTCACTTCTTATTACTATCTACAGTGAATGTAAATGGACTTATTCTCCAACAATTTTTTTTTTTATTGTGCTTTAGGTGAAAGTTTACAGCTCAAGTTAATTACTCATACAAAAATTTATACACGTATTGTTATGTGATCCTAGTTGCAATCCCTATAATGTGACAGCATACTCCTTTCCACCCTGGGTTTCTCATGCCCATTTAACCAGCTCCTATCCCTTTCTGCCTGCTCATCGCACCTCTGGACAGGAACTGTACATTTAGTTTCGTGTATCTACTTGAACTAAGAAGAACACTCTTCAAGAGTATTATTTTATGTTTTATAGTCCAGTCTAATCTTGTCTGAAGAGTTGGCTTTGGGAATAGTTTTAGTTCTGGGTTAACAGAGAGTCTGGGGGCCTTGTCTTCTGAGGTTCCTGTAGTCTCAGTCAGACTATTAAGTCTGGTCTTTTTATGTGAATTTGAGTTCTGCACCACACTTTTCTCCTGCTCCGTCAGGGACTCTCTCTTGTGTTCCCTGTCAAGGTGGTCATTGGTGGTAGCCAGGAACCATCTAGTTCTTCTGGTCTCAGGCTGATGGAGTCTCTGGTTTATATGGCCCTTTTAAGTCTCTTGGGCTAATATCTTTGTTGTGTCTTTGGTGTCCTTCATTCTAAAATGCTCTAATAATTATTGTTTCACAATAACTTCTTAGGTATCAGGCACTGTTCTAAGCTTTACATGTGCCAACTCATTTAATCTTCACAGTAACCCTATGAGACAGGTATTATCATCCCCATTCACAGATGAGAAACCAAGACACACAGAAGTTAAATAACTTCCCCAAGGAGCTGGGGTTGTGTGTTCTCAATTAGTGCACTATGCTGTCTCTCCATTTGCTGTGGGATAAGCACTGTGCAATATGCTTATGTGTGTTTCTTCACTCAGCCTTGTGAAATGGGTACTACTATCATTCTCCTCCACACTGTACAGATAAGGAAACCAAAGCAAAGAGAGGTTGCCCAAATTCACAGCTGGTGTGGAACCAGGATTTAAAGCTGGCATGGCCATCTGGCTCCAGTGACCCAGCTACATGGCCGTTCAGCCTTCTCATCCTGATCAGAAATGATGTGACTTTCATCTTACTGCCGGCTATATGACTACCATAGATTCTAATGTGCCAAGAACAAGCGAGGTAGGACTAAGATCTAAACATATCACTCCCTTCAGAGCTAGATTGACTTTCCTTTAAAGGTGTAGACCATGGCAAGATTTGGCCTAGGCGTCATCTTGAAAAGTATCTTTTCTCTAAGAGCTCAAAATATTTGGAGCTTGTGAAAATCCCCAAGAGGCGGCTAGTATTGACGTTATGAGCCAAACATCTGAAGACATGAAGATAAAATGATTAATGAGAACGGTGTGATTTAAACTCATCATGGAAAGAGAATCCAGGCCAAAATTGGTCCCCAGTCAGCCATTGGTGATACCTCATCATATGCATATTTTTGTCTCTCCCTGTCTTCTCGCTCCTTCTGCTACTTCTTCTATCTTGCCTTCCCCCTGGCTTCATAGATCTGCCAGGAATTCTCATGATTACTGAATAGTGAGGCTGAAGAGTTGGCTGACACTTGTTCTAGATAACAGGGCACACTTGAAATAAGCCTTGGTCCAGGAGTTGCAAGAGTCGCGGGGGATGGGGTAGAATGAGGCAATGGGTCAAATGTGAACCGAAAGAAATCTTACATTTTCTGGCTCTCCTTTCTATCTCCTTTCTTTAGTTTTCAGGGACTGTAAGTTCAGTGAGACGTCTTTTTTTGTAGATGCTTCTCTTATAGCCTTTTAAGACTGGACTTCATAAAAATAAGTAGTGACGGCTAATAGGGCAATTGCTGATGAGATAAAGTATATCTTTAAAACAATTAAGAAATTAATGTAAGTATAAAATACAAAATAAAAAAATATAACATAATTTTTTATTAAAAAATAAATTTAAAAACAAAAATGAATGCCAGATAACCTAAGAGTGTAGATTTGGATAGTGTGGTTCAAGATATTTACAATGTCCTTTAAAAATAGTTCAAAAGGAGGTCATAGGATCCCTCAACAGTACTGAATTATGGTGCCATGTTACCTGGGATAGGATCTTTATAAGATGTCAAAGTAATATAAGTGGAAGGCAGAAAGCAAAAGTAGGTTGGCGATTTTAAATGGGCAATTTAATAATAATGGAGCTGGGGTGGCTTTCAAAGGCGCTAAAGAACATTGGCTCATAAGAATTAGTTAAGAGTACTGTGAAAATGTTCCCTCTTTTAAACCCCACCCTGGAATATTCCCCACAAAACAGAGCTTGAGACGTTGTAACTAAGGGATAGGGCTTAAAACAGTTTTCAGTCAACTCTTCAGAACTAGGTTTACCCTATGTGACAATCTCGTTAAGAGGACGTTATTTTTTTCTTTTGTGATACCAAGAAATGATTATTACAGTAAATCTCAAAATAGAGCTCAACAAAGGTTTCTCAATAAGATGGTATCCTTATGGTTTATTTCCTTCCATGTTTATTTAGCGTAACTTTTCTCATTCTTATGTATATATTTTAATTGGCCAGAATAATAAAATCATTTTACCAAGAAGTTAATAATGTATATTCTTTTTCGATTCAGAGAAATGTAGATTCTCTGATAATTAAAAAACTCTATTAAGTCTAAGACCAAAAATACTCTAGGTGACTACTATTTTCTAGGCATTCTAAATAATGTAGGTGTGCAAAGATGATGTTTGAGGTAAATACTGGGGTGAGGGAGAGCAGATCTTCCAAAAATCCTCATAAAATAGGGAGAAAACATTTACTTTCATGAACTTGATCTTCCTGGAACACAAAATTCATCTGTCAGCAATTACATTTGTTTTGTTTTACAATATAATCAATTAAAGTAGTATTCACCCAAGTTAACTATTGAAGGCTATTCATACCTTGGTTTCTGTGGGATTCATACTGGAAGATTTGCTGGTTGCAGCAGAGGATGCTGACACCTAGAAAGGAAACATAAAGTATGATTGTATTTAACCTGCAAGCTACACCTTCAGCTCCTCCTTAAGCCGTACTGTTATTGTTAGCTGCCATGCGCTCTGGTGAAACCTGTTCAGCATCACAGCGCACGCAATCCACCACAGGTAAACAGGTGGTGGCTGCGCATGCGGTGCACGGGCCAAGAATCAAACCTGGGTCTCCCACATGGAAGGTGAGAATTCTAATTCTACCACTGAACTACTAATACCTCACTCTTAAGCCACAGTCACTTGTAACTCTTTACCTTGCTCTTACCTAGTTTAGGGCACCAGCCCCTACAAAAGTCCAGTAGCTGGTGCTACCCAGTGGGTGATAAACATGGGTTCCAATTTCAGGTCTGCTACTTATAAAATAATCTTGGGCAACTTAAAGTTTCTGAGCTTCAGTTTCCCCATCCTCAATTTTTCTTCAGAAGATAAAAACTACCTTGTAAGTTTATTATAACTGCTGCCCGGCACATAATAAGTGCTCGATAAATATTATTATAATTAGGATTTGTGTTGTTTTGAGAAACATGGACTTTGAAACTCAATAGATTTGGGCTCAAATCCCAGCTCTGCCACTTACTAGCTGTGTGACTTCGAGCCTTAGTTTTCCCAGCATATAAAATGGGACAACAGTTAATTTACAGGGTTCTAAGTATCTGAGGTAATGCGCATTAAATGTACCCAGCATACTATTCTAAGACCTTACTCAAAATAGAAAAAGACATAAACACTGGGAAGGAGACTTGGATGGATTAGAATCGTCCTTTCAGTGTCACAAAGGAAAAGAAGGTAGGAGATGGGGCTGCAGAGGGAACTTTGCTGTTATTATCTGTCTCATCTGGACTCCTCCCTGGAGGGCAGGAGGAGATGAATGGGAACTGAAAAAACTAAAACCAAATCCACTGCGTTGAGTCGATTCTGACACACAGGGACCCTACAGGACAGAGTAGAACCTCCCCATAGGGTTTCCAAGAAGCAGCTGATGGATTTGAACTGCCGATCTTTTGATTAGCAGCCAAGCTCTTAAACATTGCGCCACTAGGGTTCTGAAGTACTCAAGAAACACTTTTCCTAGGGATACATGGGGGTGGTGAAATCAGCCCCTGCAATCTACTCACCTAAACAGTGGGATGTGCACGTGGAGACTTACATGGTATTGAGTTCTATTCTAGTACTCAGCTTGTATTACTCTGGTTAATATTAAACAGACAATTACTGTCCTTACAAATTCCAACCCAGGCTCATTTAAGCCTCCTTAACATTTGAGTCCGTTAGGTTTTAGAGCCCAGGGATTCCACCTGGCACGGGTTGCCTTCTTAAGTAACCAACTGTCAGTAAACAGCTGCTGCCCTGCCAACAATACCCAGAGAAGCCGATAATGCGGACTTCACTCTGCTCCAATGCCTGGCCCTGAGTCACCTCAGAGGCTGAGTCACAGAGCAGGATGGGCCTACTTCTCCCAGCACCACCCACACCCCCAACACTACGGCTCACGGGAGTGGGCTGGATGAAACGCACGATAACCTATGGCCCATGAACAAAATCACTTTCCTCATGGGGCTCAGTTAATGTAGAACATGTTGATGCCCATAATTAAAGTGAAATTATCATAATTTACAGAAAAAAGTCCAAAGTTTTTTTATATACTGATTTTCGAAATATAATCATATGAACTTAATTATTCTCAAGCATTCTTAGTCATCAACTGAGCACCCCCCACCCCAGTGTACACACACACACACACACACACACACACACACACACACACACACACACACACACACACAGTCATTGTACCAGGGCATGGAGCAGCAGCCTCACTCACATTCCCTTTGGGATAAAGAAAGGAAGATGTACCAAGGTATATTTTCCCCCATGAAATTAGTGGACAAATATATGAATGCCCTTTTTTCACGGAGAACATTTTTAAACAATTTGTGGGGATTAATGTCTCCATATTTATATAATACTTATATAATTTATATTTCTGTCTTTCCACTTTAGGATTGGATGTACAAATTTCCACTTAAACTCAAGAAGCTCCACTTTGCTGCATCCCATTCCTTCAAAGATTTCCCTTAACCATACAAAACCACCAAAGAAACCAAATACTTTACAGAAAAGTGTCCTTTCAGATGTAAATCTCCTGAGGAACACTAACTTATTTTTTGAACATTCAAATTTATTACCACATTCATAAAATCACATAGCTCTGAATTTTACAACCTGCCTTAGTACTTTATTAAGCAATATGTGGATGTAATGCTCAAATCCTAAAAAGACAACTTTCAAAAAACCACCAAGAACAGTAAAAGCTCTACACAGAATAACTATAAATAAGCATGAAGCATGTTAAAATGAGAACTTAGCTGAAGGTCTTGGCCCTACCTGCTCTCAGCATAGGCTCCTCCATGAAAGTTTTATCTCATGACTAAGGTGCTAGGCATTTTGAAACTAAAACATGAAAGCTACTTCATGGGGGCTGGAAACAAGGAGAATACGTTCCTCTCTCCCCTGTTACTAATTAATTTGACTGTGGCTTACTAAATTTTAGTATATCAGTAAAAACAAGGAACTTTTAATACTTGTCACCTCTGGTACGGGAAAGAATATACTTTTACTTTAAATCCTTTTGTACTGTTTGAATTTCTAATCATGTATATAAATAACTTTTATAATTAAAAAACTTTGAAGAATTCATTCATTCATCACGATGTTAGAAATAACCTTTTGGAGCCCTGGTAGCACAGTGGTTAAGAGCTCGGCTGCTAATCAAAAGGTCAGCAGTTCGAATCCACCAGCCATTCCTTGGAAACCCTATGGGGCAGTTCTACTCTGTCCTATAGGGTCGCCATGAGTTGGAAGTGACTGGACAGCAACGGGTTTTAATATGTTTGTTTTAAGTAGATGAGGAAAATTGAAGCTCATAGAGGTGAAGTGACCTATCCAAGGTTTATCATAGTTTACTGGCTCAGCAAATGTTTATCCAGAACCTGTGCTAGGTACTGGGACAGTTTGTGCCAGGTACTATGCTAGGTGCTGGGGTCACAGTGGTAAATCTTCCTAACATATCCCTGCCCTTGTGAAAGTTATAGCCTGGTCAGAGAAGGCATAAGTAGAATAATCACACCAATAATTACTTACGGCAAACGTTACAAAGGAAAATCACAGGGTCCCATGAGGGCACAGACTAGGGAATCAGAACTAGTCCAAGGGGCAGGTGATACTGAGGAAGTGACAGTTAATGTGGTGACTGAAGGATAAGCAGACAGAAGGCTGGGGAGGAGCATCCCATGCATGAGGACCCCCGAGTAGTGTGTGTTAGGTCTGGGACCCAGGCCACCTGATTTCTAAACTAGGGCCCTCCCGCAGCCTCTACTACTCAGCCAGTCCTGCTAACATCAGGAGGCAGCCAGAATCAGAGCATAAGCCATCAGAGCTCATACACACCAAAACATCTACATGGGACTACTGCTACAAATCACACTGAAGTGCAGCTATATTTTCCCTCCCAAACAATCCAATATACTAATATCCAGAGAACTGATTAATTTATAATTATTTATAATCTTGTGTATTTATAATCTTGAGATAAGGCAAAAAATCAGGGTAACAAAGAGCAGAGAAACCGCCTTTATATATATCATCCTCCACCTACCCACCCATTTAACAATTGCTATTTAAAAAGCCATGAGACAGAGGCTAAGGATACACACACAATGAATAAGAGATGATCGTGGCCTTGGAAGAGCTCAGATTCCAGTGAAACAATGAGACATGAAGTAGGTTTATGCTACAATAAGTGCTCTAACTGAGCTATGAAGAGAGTCGTTTATGACCAAACAGATGTTTGACTTCTAAGCCCATCTTAAGTAATCTTGCTGTATTGTTAGGTTAAGGAGCTCCGATGGCACAATGTTTAAAGTGCTCGGCTGCTAACTGAGAGGTCAGTGGTTCGAATACACTCAGTGGCTCAGTGGGAGAAAAGATCTGGCCATCTGCTCCTGTAGAGATTACAGTCTAGGAAACCCTATGGGGCAGTTCAACTGTGTCCTATAGGGTTTCCATGATTCAGAATCGACTTGATGGCCCGCAACAACATTGTTAGGCTGCGTTAAAATAAACTAATATTGATTTAAAAAAAAAAAAGATTAGTTGCAGCATAGAAAAATGGATTAAGTACTTAATCCTGTACTTAACTAATACGGGTAATTTACTTTCTGGAATTATAGTAAGTCCCTGGGTTATAAATGTCCAACTTGCTGACAACTCGTTCTTGCCCTTTAATGTTATATAAATTTGTCCTCATTTTGAAATGACTGAACCAACCCCTACTTGCAACAAATTCATCACAATCACCTTCACTTGCTGCATGTGCAGCTTTTAAATTACTGACAAGCTTTTGAGCCTTTTCTTGCTGTAAAGTAAGGCAAATAAGAACCTCATGCACCTGTTTCAACTTACCTACTTAACCTAAAAATTCGACTTAACACCCTTCGGAGCTGATCTCGTTTGTAACCCAGGGACTGCCTGTACTCGGCAACTCTCTTTAAATTTGTTCATTTGACACTATAATAATTTTGGAAGTTTACCACAGTAAATAATTGGCAATATGCAGGGCAGATAACATGCTCTAAGACCCTTAGAAAATGGAAACTGTTTTGCTTTTTCATGTAAGTTTTGCAAAGTTCTCCTAGACTCAAGCCTGTCAGCTGTCCCACCTACGCCGGCCAGATTAACCTTTCTGCGTGCCGCTCTCACGCCCACGTCACCCCCTGGAGTAGAATCAGCAATGACTCCTGCTGCCCACTCTATCACAAAAATTCTTTCACTTGCCTTTGAAGACCCCCAGTGTCCAGTCCCACCTCATCTCAAACACAGAACCTCTCCTTCAGGCCACCAGACGTCCCTGTCTCAAAGCACATCTCACTCATCTCCCACTTTACATTTTTCTCACACATATGCCACTTGGTGGA